TTTTATTTTTGACAACTAATCAAGTGACCTACACTATCCCTATTTAATGATTTGTCCATAGCCAATTCGATTTATTTTTTATATATGAAATTATTAATAAGTTCCGTATTCAAAAGTAAAAAAAAACAAGGATTGGAAACGAAGCGAAGAGATAGAGTGGATACAAAGCGGCGAATTATTTAATGTACATACAAAAATGAGAATTCAACGTATTAATATACCGTTTGTAATTAAAAAAGTTTCAGAGGAGATACGGAAATAATGGGATGCACGGAACGAAATGTCTTTGTAGCAAATGCAATAAATACGAAATTTGTTTTTTGAAATTAATTGGATTTCAAATACAAATTAGAATTTGCAACAGCAAATCAGATTCGAACCTTTGAAGCAATGCATTTATTTTACTATAGACTTTTGCTATGTGCATTTTTATTTTCTGTTTCGTTTTTTGCTATAATTATGTATGTTTAATTGATTTCAAATAAATTATTTAGATTTTCGTAATTAATTTGAGCGCGATTTAATTCCGGTTTACGATTTCGTAATTTCAATTTTTCTTTCTTTCTTTTTTCTTTTTTTTTTTTTTTTGGTACGGACTAAACTTTTTCAAGAGCGAATGCACGGTAATATGTGCAGCCTGCATAAACTTGCGAAAAGGAATTCATAGAAGTGGAGTGAGCGTGTGCGATGCATGAGAGAATATTGCGCACGTAAAAGTAAATTTCATTAAATATTTTACACGTGCGAAGTTTATGAACTTGCCCCTTACGCGTTTTCATCCGAATGGCAAAATTTTCACTATGGAATTGGAAAAGCGCAACTGGTTTTATGGGATCCGATGGAAGTGTTTCATCATCGTGAATAAAAAAAAAATAAAAATAAAACGAAACATAAAATAATGTTTATATCGTTCGTTTAGTCTCGAATTTATGATCTAATACTTTTTCAAGTTTGATCTATTTCCAATCTATTTTTGGCTCTTCAAAAACATCATTAACATTCTTCTAGTACGGTTTGAAAATTTCAAAACAAAGTAAATATTCATTGAGCAAAATTCTCTTACCAGATTTATCTTCTGATTGCTTACATTTCGCTGAATTTGTGTATGGAAATGTCTAATGCGGTTAGAACAAAATAAAACTAATTTGTTGTTGTAGCTACGTTATGAATGAATTTGGTTGTGCGGTTGGTAGTTTTCTAAGCAAGTTTCAGATATTTGGAATTAAACTGATTCTATCGAATTAAAGTTGTATTTGCCTGTGGACCTTTCCGGGTGGCGTGGCGCGCATGCAAATGAATGGAACGAAAACAATTTGATTCGGTTTTCAGAGGCGGCCGCCTCAATTATCCACGCAAATTAACTCTCGACGGACGAAACGACCACTAATTTGCGAATAAACAAGTTTCCGCATTTGAAATATAAATGAATTCCGTAATTGATTCGGAAAGGGAGCAAAACAAAGAGAGAGATAGAGAGAGAGAAAAAAGCACGTACAGCAAAATAAAACAGAAAAAAAAAGATAGTAAAGTGTGGGTGGCATAATGGAGATTTCGCGTTCGCTTTTTGGCTGGAATCGATCACGTGTGTAATGGGTTCTCATTGATGGGGATGATAAATGGCTTTGAGACTTCGATTGGGGGTGGCGGCTGCGGCTGCGGCGGCGGCGGTAATCCGTTGACGAAACGCGAACGCCAGGAAGGAATGCGTCTGCTGAAGAAGGTCCTGAGCTTGTCGAGGACCCTCGGGCGATCCGCAAGGAACGTAATCACGTTATCGTCGTCCTCTTCGAGTAGCGTCGTTTCTGAGAGGAAAGGCCTTCGCGCCATCGATTCGATTCCCTGAAGATGCGTCGAAGGCCATGAAGCCCTCGATACTTTGGGGTAATTAGGGCTAGAGGATTGTCTCCTCAGCAGCCCTTCGAGTATGGCTATCTCCTTGTCCAGAGCCTGTATCTCGCAACGGTACACCTTGTTCTGCACTTCCATCCTGTAGGCGATCTCGTGCGGATCGTCGATGCGGAGGCGCCGGGTGTTGCACTCGATCTTCAAACCCATGCTCTGCATCACCTGATCCTTATCCTCGCCGTCCTCGAACAGCACCGACTTCAGCTTGGGCACGAAGAGCAGCAGAAGCGTGATCGTCGTCGACGTCAAGATGCTGAAGGTCCTCGCGATGTACGACAGGAGGATGTAATCGGTAAGGAAGTGCGTGACGAAGACGACGAGAGACGCGAAGAAGGTGCTGTACACGCTGATCCCGATGTACTGCGAATCGTTCAGAGCATCCACTTTGATGCGGCGCGTCTCCCAAGCCGTGTAAACACCCATTGTCAGCAGGAACCCTTTGTAGACGCAAATCGCTATGAACCATCCGGTCGTATTGTTACACTTGCAGACCTCCACCTGCCGAACGTCGATAAAGAGCAAGAACCGAATTAGTCCAAAAAATACGCTTTTATATCTCACCCCCGCAGCCCAGAAACGGATATCGCAACAATGTAACTTTGATTACCCTATAAACTCTTCCTCTACAACAAATCACAGAATAAAAATAGTAGCATGTATCTAATATAACTAAATTAACATTCACAGATCATTTTAATTATCATTAAATTCTAAATTCGAATAAATTGATTATATTGCAATTAAAAATCAATGTAACTGAGCTAAATTATAAAGAAATACTTTTATACTAATATTGTAGAATTTAACTTTTAATTTGCTGAATTAAAATTTAGTTTTATTTTGAAATTTTCAAACCGCACGGATTGATCGAAGCCGCACTATGCGAGATATTCGCGGTTAAGTGAGGTTTCACTGTATATTTTAGCATACTTTGTATTCTTGACTGTTGGAAGAATCGTCAATAATAATTACATTTAATTATCAAGTATTAATTTTACACCAATATAATAGAGAATATAATATCGTTAAAATGTTGATTGCTTTGCAATTTTGAAATTAATTATTTATTTATATATAATGAAACTGAAACTTCAAAGTAAAATTATTAATTTCACATCAACAGCAGAGTAAATAATATCGTACATTGATGTCAAATTAATAGTTACTAGAAAAAAACAGTTTCATCAATGAATTCTGCATTTCAACGGAAATTAATTATCATAAAATCATTATAATATACATCCGAACATACACCAATTCATTACAGACTACAAAATGAAATTATATTTTTAAACATGCACTGAACAAACTAACAACTCTAGTACAATTAAGTGATAACGAACGGTATAATTCAGTTCATTTCATAATTTGAATGCAATTAATTGGAATTTCCATGTTATTTTTTTTCTCTAATAAATTATATTTGTGGACCGGCGAAAAATGCGGAAATCTCATTACTATATTTTGTTTTTAATCGAATTCTTTTTCCCCCTCACATTCACAAAGGCAATCTAATTATTTTTTAAGCGAAAGAGCGACGTTTCGCTCTAGAATCCTTTTAGCATTTATTTCTTCCTCTCTCTCTCTCTACAAGAATCGTATTTACAAATAGACGATGATCTGATCTCATTTTATTAAAATCAGTATTTATTTTTTTTTTTGAAAATTTAATTAATTTGTCAAAAAAAAATGATAGTTTCTACTGGAATCTGTATGAGAGCATTGTTTTATTGCAATTTCATTTTCGTGAGTACAAATCCGGTCCCTCGGGAAAATCCTACGGTTATCGATTCATATATTTTCATCTAAATCAAAAAGTAGACGTACGTTGGCAAATAATAAAACAAAAAATAATATTCGATTTCCGCTGCGATCGGTTTACCACGAAAAGTATACATGTAAATGTTCTCATGTTAAATCAATTTTTCGCCCGTTCTCTTTTCCTTTACTGCATATTGCATTTTTGTACATAAGCAATATCTAATATTTACTAGATTAGCGTTACTTGAATGACTTAATTATTGTTGTTTGTTTTTGTTTTGTACCTGAGGTTGATAAAGCACTGATCTATCATCGGAGCTGATCTGCATAGTGAGATTGTGGAGATGCCTCTGCATTGGATCCGTGTATACCCAAAGTGCGATGATCACTGCGTCGATGATCAGCAGGACGAAGATGAGCGAGATCAGCTGCTTGTCCTTGAGGAACTTGTCTCTGACGCTCGTGCTGTACGTGAAGATCCTTTGGATTCTGTAGGTCTTCGCGAAGATCGAACCAAAGGCCAAGGAGAAACCGGCGGAGAGCAGATACACCCTCATCTGATCATCAAAAAGAGCGTGTTAATTAAAAAGTTTCGAAATTACAGCTCGAACGCAAGCAATGCTGGGAATACGATAAACTCGTGTAATATGTAATTCCGCAAAATTTTGCATTGACTGCTCACCGTGCACAGCTTGGCGAAATGGGAAACTCGGAGGACGGTACGTATGTCGATGCCCAGGAGAATGACTGCAGCATAGACAAGTACGCATCCGGAAACGGCGATGTTATTCAGACGCGGACTAGATAGCTTGATGACTTTCTGCTCTCTGTAGCGGTAATTGAAGCACAGGAATAATATGCAAGCGAGGATTCCCATTCCCGATACGATGGAAACTAGGTAGAAGGCGGATTTCGGGATAGTCACCAGTTTGAATCGTAGCACCCTCTTGGCGATCGGTACCTTTCCCTCGCGCCATCTTATAGCATTGCAACCGTAGCACTTGAAGTCCAGCCGTCCATCGTCCACGTAATAAATGGCCACAGTCTTTGACACACCACCTTTAACATAATAATTTTAGCAAATTGAGTATCATATTAAACTTTCACATTTCATTAGTTCACTTGAATGTAGAAATTTTGGAATTTTAGCATTGTCGATAAACGAATTTCATTATTTCTTTTTTATATCAAAAAACAAACTCCAAACAAGTCGAAGTTAAACAGATTTGTTTCTGATGTTGTGCACATTTAGGAAGTTTCCTGCGATAATTATCTTTCTAACTTTCATAATTCAGTTAGCAGAGAATATCGCACCGTATTTCCCTAAAGTAAATTGAATATTTACTCAACAATAATGAATAGGTGTTATTCTTTAATTGTTAAGATGTTTTTGGACAGGAAGACTTCAGTATTTGACCAATAAAGACTTGTGACCAAATATGATATGTTGTTTCAGACGTATAATAATAACATTTCGATTAAATGCTAGTTGCAATTATGTTGTTATTGGATTGAAGAAGGAGATTAAAGCGAAACTGAATTCCGCCGATGATGATAAGTTTGGAGAATACTCGGAAGGCTTACCTTGGATCTGCGTAATTATCGAATTCCCAACGCGATCCGCTCCTCGAAATCGGACAGGTCCCTGGCGTGCAAAACAAATAGTGAAAGAAAAACGAAAACAAAGAAAAAATAAACAAGATGAAATGGAAACGAGAGATACACTCACCGAGACACCCATGAACCGCAGCTCCTGCATGTATCCAACCGCTTCGTCGATGAACTTGTCGTCGTCGTAGAAGAAATCGGTCAGATTGTAATCGTTCCTGGTGCTCACGGCCTTCATGGCCAGTGCCATGGCCCAGATTGCATCGTACGTTTGCCGAGCGTGCCTCGAGTGGAGAGACTTATTGAACGCATCGTCGAATTGCTTGTTGCTCTGCAGACATGAAGAAGATGAAGTGGAAAAAAAAATATGCCTCTAATTCAACCGGGGCCTTCTTACCAGGCCGGAGATTGCTACGCCGTTATCGGGGATCATGTTGTGATGCTCCAGAAAGATGACTCCTTCGGTGGCTTCCCTAAGGTGGCCGTGTCTGCAATCCTTTGTGTCCCGCCACCACGTCGCCTGCCGATCCTGCAGGATCCAAACGTAATCGATACCGAACATTTTCAATTTATATATCTGCAACATGGAAATAACCAGCTCACGTCTAAATCTCAACTCGATCTACTTTTCGCTGTGAGATTACATTACCTCACAGAATATCCTCGGAGCTATTTTCGCAGAAAAACTACCAACTATAATCCTTACATTCAATTCCTGAAACAACGAAAAATGTAATTGAATTCATTTATATTTGTCGTGTTCCATGATTGAAGTCAAAAATCGTCGAATCGTTTTACTGATGTTAACTGACAATATTTGACCATTCGAATTTAATTAATTTAAATATATTCAATTTACCTTCAAGGCCTTCAAACGTTCTTTGAAGTTGCTCAAAGAGAATGTGATAGATTTGGCGCACTGCACGTCCGATTTTTCCAAGTTGATGATGAGGTTGTTGATGGGAAAGAGGTAGATGTTCTCGCGTTGGCTGAACGTTGCCACCGTGTCCCACTTGTACTTCCTGATGAAAGCCGCCTTAGCGTCGTTGTGGGAGGAATCCGGTGCGACGGTTCGGAAGAACAGAGGAAATTTATTCCGATCGCTCAAGGAAGGCGACGTCGACCCAAAAGACACCTGAGATATGCAGTACTACTAGACCGTGTATATACACTGATTAAATTATCGTACTATACTTGTCAATGAAAGGAACTAAACTTTGTTAGAAGAGAAAAAAGGGAAATGCTGGAAAGCACTTAAATTTTAAATCTACTAAATTTTAATCTTTTGTTATTAATTTGTGGATTGTTTGATCGAACTGAACTTTGTAGCTGAGTAGAATGAATATGGAAGAAAGCGAAATTTTGCAAGGGGCATTAATGATGAAAAGAAGCTTTTGTTTCGACGAGATTTATGGATGATGCCGGTTTGGTTGTGCAAGAGTCGAGCGCCTGGAACACCCAGAATACGTTTAGGAGATTTAAATTAATTTACTTGCAGAATATTCCAGTACGGAACAATGTTTGCCAAACTTTCGGTGACGTTCGAGCAGCCACTTCCCAGCAGCATAATGATGATTTTCTTGGAGTAAAGAGCGTGAAAGAAGCGATCGATGCCAGCGCCCGGATCGCACTGAAACAATACAAGAAGTAAATCTTCTACTTCATCCATCCAATTCATCAAGACTATTTGTTTTTTCTTCTTCTTCTTCATCATCAATTTATCTTTAATCCACGCGCGTCCAGAGGATTGGTGCAGCATCGATCGATCAACGATTGGTAGTTTGTCAGATTGCGAAAGTACAAATTACAACGAAAAAAATAAATGGTAGGTAATTAAAAAAGTATTATTATCTCGCTCTGTCAATATTTGATGTGCGCCGGCACAATTAAGAGTCTCTGCCAACTAATGCGGCCCAATAAATTACGTGTTTGCGTACCTGGGTGTCGTTTATGAGCAGCTTAATCCTGTGTCCCGAGAGCAGATTCTTGCGGTTGATGTGGTCGACGGCCATTTGAGCTGCGAATACCTCGGCGAAGCCCTCATCTCTGATCCCATGTTTCGTCGTCATCTCGAACAGCCCCAGGACGTGCAGATCGGAGTCGTCCTCGCCACGAGCGCTCCTTCCACCCAACACGAACTCCCTGTACTTTTGCTTCTTAACATCCTCCAACATCTCCGAAGTTTCCTCCTCATCGAACAGATCGTAATCATCACCGTATTCGCTGCTGCTATCGTTGCCCCAGCTTTCGTTAGCGCCTATCGTTAAATGCGACTTCTTCGACGAATTCTTGTCCTGCAGATTGAGGATGACCGTGAGCACGGCGACGGACACGAGGAAGGCGCGGACGTGCCTTGCGAACAGCCACATCCTAATGAATTTTGTAGGAATCGCGCCGCGTTTGCAGAAAAGCCTGGAAAAGTCCTTTCGAAGTATGGTGGGATGAATAAAACCTCTCAAGAAGTCCTCCAGTGCGCGTGAGACGCAAATCGCTAAGGGCCTTACATTCTGCAACAGCGACTCAGCTTTTTTCCCTTCTCCTTTTTGTTCTTCGCTGCCCACTTTACGCGATCCTCGAACCGGCGCCCATTGTTACAATTATCGCCTTTAATATTCCTCGAATTCAGCACAATATAATTAACAATATTTAAGCCATTATAAACGCACTTTGTTCTCCTTCACTTCGTGTACTTGTGAACCTCAACAAAGATCTTATATTTTACATATCTTGAAATTATCTCAATTATCATCATCAGAACATGAATGGCCTTTACTTACAACAATAATTATTAAATAAAACTATTCATACACAAATAATAAACTGAGATGCAGGTGAACCTTGTATCATAATTTTGCATAAAACTAAATTTAAATTCACTTTTAAATACACCAGCCAGCCATATTCTGCCATCTATGTGTGAAATACCAAAACTTAACTTTACTTAAATCTTTTCATTTCTATAATTAAAGATCTTGCTGCTAAATCTATAAAAGTATTTCCCTATTTGGAAGCGTAGTTCATCAAGAAGAATCTTATAGATTTTCTGAATCTGAAATAATTTGTCATTTCAAGTATTTACATATAATATAATAGAAGGATTGGAATCTAATAAATATTATGTGAATTTCTATAATCTATTTATTGTCACTAACATTCACAAATTCGTTTGATTCTCAAATGAAACTTTAGAGTTTAATCTTATTCAGATTTGACATTACCTGCAATCTACCGGTAGCATTTACAGGTAACTTCAGGTAACCCAGGTAACGATGACCGAAACAAAGAAAAACGTAGCGTCTACCATAGATTGCCATAGAACAAGAGTACGTTGAGTGATAAACTTTTTCCAATCATGAATTGGGATGACGATATCGATTTCATGGCTAACAAAAAGGTTGTATACGTTCATTAATTACGATTCAATGATGTTGATTACGTCTGTATGTGTGTGTGTATCTTGTGTGTTTAGAGCGCTGCAAAGCAGGGTAGGAGGGCCGGTGTCGAGAGCGAGGATTCTCAGAAGTCGACTAGGCTTCCCTTGAAGGCTGGAAAATGGGCTGATGAAGGGAACAAGTCTGGAAGGAAAAACTCGACTAATCTGATTGAACAGGAGAGGTTCCAAGACAACAGAGCCATTGATTCTGATAACGATGATATACCTATCATACCGGATATTGACGAATTCCAAGATGACATTGGCAGCTTGCAAGAAGTTAAACAACCAATGTTATTATTGTACTGCACTTGTTATGTGGATTGAATGAACTGGTGGTGTTTCTTTTTTGTTTTCTAGGGTTCTGGTAAATAAGGCTACTTACAAGGAGTTGGACAAGGAGCTTGTGAGTCTGCAGAGTGGTGAAAATATTGCTAACCTAGGCAACATCAATTTATCATTCTTAACAAACAAGCTGTACCCTGAGAAGGATGTCAAAGAGGTGGATGAGTTGTGGAGCATGGACGCTCTGTTTGAGCATCTGATCAATTACAATAAATAATGTTCATTGTAACGATGTTAGCATGTCTTCTTGTATTACATACACCTGCAGGGTCTTCTCGGTGGTGTGCGATCGCCGATGAACGGCGAGGGCCCCCGATTGCGAGTAATTGTTACCGCATATTTCGCACTGGTAGGGCTTCTCTCCCGTGTGCACCCGGGTGTGTGCCTTCAGGCGGTGGGCATCGATGAAGGCTTTTTCGCAAATACCGCACACGTGATTGCGTTGCCCGTTGTGAGACCGCATGTGCACGTTCAGGTGGCTCGAGGTGCTGTACTTCTTCAGGCAGACCTTGCACTCGTATGGTTTTTCCCCCGAGTGGCTCCTCATGTGAGCGTTGAGATCACCGGAGCGGGCACAGCTCTTGCCGCAGATGTTGCAGACGTAGGGCTTGACCCCGGTGTGCGTCCTCGAATGCAATTTCAGCTGGTTCCTCTGGGTGAAACGTTTGTCGCACTCGGTGCAGCCGTACGGCATGTTCCCCGTGTGCTTTCTCATATGCACAGTGACATAGTGGCTCTAAAACGCACGCAAATTAGTTGGATTTCGGATCGCAGACAAACGCGAGACCTGTGTGAACGTCTTCCCGCAGATTTTGCAGAGATACGGACGCTCCCCGCTATGGATCCTCATGTGCTTCTTCAGCACGAACGAGTGCGTGAACCCTTTATCGCATATCTTGCAGATGTGTTTCCTCTCCCCGCTGTGCGTCACCATGTGACTGCGGAGCCCATTCGGATCCGCGAATTTCTTGCTGCAGATATTGCATGAGATCGGTTTCTCGCCTGTATGGATCCTCATGTGCACGGCGAGAACGTTGCTCTCGTAGAAGCTCTTCCCGCAGATCATACAGAGGTGCGTCTTCTCCCCCTTGTGTTTCCTCACGTGCCTTTTCAAGCTCCCCGATTCCGAAAATTGCTTCTCGCATATATCGCACTGAAACGGTTTGTTCTTCATGTGGATACGGATATGTCGCTTCAGCGCCTTAAGAGCTGCAAAGATCATAATCATAAAGAACAATCCCATTCAACTATTTAAATAACATCACCAGCAAAATTCTTCTTGCAAATAGAACAAGTCATANNCTTCATCATCCACTTCTTTCTTTTTAGCAGTATCCTCTTGCTTCTGCTCCTCCAACACTTCAGCCACTTCCATCTCAACAATAGGCTCCTCCTCATAAACACCAGGTTCCTGCACAGTCTCCAGCTCATGCAGCAAATTGTCATTCACCATCTCATTGACCATAAAATTATCTGTCTTTAGATATTCAGACAAACTCAACTCTATATCTTCATACTTTGTACTGAAACATTGCCCCAGAAACTCATGCGACTTCAAGCAAAGCTGCTTAAACTCGTACAGTTTAGTCAGTTCATTCCTGCAGTCCACACAAATGAATCTCGGGTACCTGTCAGGACCATCAATCTGGAAAAGAAACAATAACAAATTACCAAACAAAATCAATTAATTGTTTTTTTTTTCATCTAGACATGATCACCATTATCGACGTGCAATAACTGAAAATATCTGATGTATTGTCTTCGAATATGGAGACCATTGCCTCCTTTTCCATAAGGCAAGCCCTGCACGCCTTGTCGATATTCAAAATTGGCAGGGATTCCATTTGAACGTTCACAATTTCAAATCGCACGCTAAAAATAAACGCACTTGTTATTTATATACAGACGCGCACCTATAAATAAATTGTTTTGTTTTTCATCCTCGTCCGTCCGTCCGGACCGAAGTCAGCTGACATTACAAAACCGATCGATATCAATGAAATGTATACACATCTTGTGTAATTCCTATAAGCAAAGCTTTGCAAGATTTAACATAATTTAAAAAAAAAGAGAGAAATTTGTATTTAGCAAATCTTTATTTAAAAAAAAAACGCATTTTCTTTCAAAATTTTAAACATCTTATAAGAATATTTTTAATAAATAACAACATTTTGTGCATAGATAATCAAATCCAACTGCAGAATCAACAGAAAATACTAGTGTTTCTAAATCAGTATACTTATTATAACATTTCTAGGTTTTGTTAGGCAACCAATCGCACGCAACAGGAAACGAATTACGCAGGAATTTCAAATTCGCGAAGGCCGTTCGGCCACGATAATAAGAATATTTTTGCTTTTAGAAAGCCAAAGACTATTATCGAAAGGCATTCCTTGATCGATCATTTCCATTGATTTTACGTGTAAAACGCGCACGAATCGGCCCCGTCTTTCGGTTTTATTAAGCCAGAAATAACATCTCCAATTGCGTTCTTTTCCTTGTATGCATGCAGTCAACTCAAGGTTTTCCGAATCGATTAAAAAGATCTTTCCTCGTGCATACCAAAAAAAAATATGCCGTTTTTAAATTGACAAGGTCGTGGCTGGCCTTTTCTTCTCCTTCTGGTCGCCTCCAACGACAACCCAAAAAAATAAAACTTACTCGTTCTTCGCTGCTACAACTAATTAATTTTGAATTTTATTCAAATCAATATTTTATCATCATTATTTCCATAATCAATGGAAAAGAAAGTCGTTATATAACAAGAATGCTCAATTTTGAAAACCATCTCCGTTTGATTAGATAATTACTGAATGGATCCTCGTAATTCTGCAATAATTTGCATCTACGGTAAACCTTTCACTTGAATTTCAAAATGACATTTATTTATGTTTCAATCACTTTTCATGAATTATTTTACGTTTTCCTATTGGATCATTTTTGTGTAAATAAAGCACACTTATTGTATTTCTTTACGAATCAAAAATCGTCTTAAAATTGATCATATCCTTTTATATGTTATCAAGAAGCAGAAAAAAAAACTATTTGTTTTTTTCTATAATAAGGATCTTATATGAATGAATAAATGAATATTAATTGAATGCATTTAGATATTTCCAATGATCAAGTTTACTTTCAACTTGATGTTAAAGACTTCTTCACTTTTTTTTTGGTATTAATTAAGTTTTTTTTTTGTTCAGAGCTTATGGAAATGAATTTGTAATTAAAACAGGAATCTTATATAAATATATCATGTTTCTCCTCGTAGATTATGGAAATGAACATGAATAGATTTATCTAATTCTATTATCAAGTATTAAAAGCGAGCATCGATTAGAAACGTTTTATTTAGAAATAATTTGACGTAATTTTTTTGCAAAAAAAAAGTAAAAAGTGTTTGTTATCTAATAGATTAGAGCTGATATTTGATGGTGGATTCAAATGGATTTACGGCTTTTCCTCCTAAAGAGAAACCTTTCGGATGGATGAGGCAATCGCTCGGAGGCTTCTTGCAGATGGAAATTATCGAAAGGAGAAAAAAAGCATGGAAGGAACAACAACAACAATAAAAAACAACGCGGATCGTTGGTAAGAGGAATATGGGAATATCTTTGGGTAATATATTGACTTTTTCGTTTCCTTGACCTAGTGGAGTGTGTTCTAAAGAAAGTGGCCACCACTCGGGAGGTGCGAGTGTGTGTGTATGCATGTGTGTGTGGTGTTGTCGAGAAGTAGAGACGAGGAAAGTGCAGAGACCGTCAGTGATTGTCCGCTGCCCTGTCCAGCAGTAGTAACTCGCGAAGAGATATGGCGGTGTTACTGAAGAAACACTGCTCCAAAGCGGTATTGACCGTAGTCGCTCTGATTGCCATCAGTGAGTATTGAACAAATAACATTTAAACATCATGATCAAGAGGCATTGATTAATTTGATAAGTTGCGGATCGAGATGGAGTGACGAGAAAGTAAGATTCGAAGGAAGATGTAAATAAATAATGAAATAAAAAGCGAAAACGGTAGAAAAGGCCACGTACGTACGCGAGTTCGCCCAGATCGGAACGGTAATTTACGGTGCGAAAACTTTCACGAACGCAGAAACACTTTTGCTCTCTCTGTCTGCTTCATCCAAAAAAAGAAGAGAAGAAAAGAAAAAGAAAAAAAAACAACAAACAAAATCGGTAGATAAATAAATGAAGGAGTCGAGGAAAACGTAGAGTTGCGTAATCCGCGAAAAGAACACGCGTTCCCGACGTAAGTGTGCATATTGATTTCCTTCGGATCGATTTGCGGAATCGCAAGGTTGCAAACCAGTTCTCCGGCTACAAAAATTTGTTTGATTTACATTCCTAAATGTCATGCCGCAAAATAATAATTTTGCCAACAATTCATCGAACATATCCAATATCGAACGCATCCAATTGAATTATTTTCTTACTTCTTCAATACATTGATTCAATACCTTCTTTTCCATGCTTCTCGAGCTCTCCGCTCCATCCTCGGCTCCGTATTAGCATCCTTTTGACTTTCTACTGTAACCTCGTTTTAAAACTGTTCTTGGAATTTATATGTATTAAAAAAAAATACATATAAATTTAAAAAGAAAGAAAGAAAAAAAACTAATGAAATTAAACGCTTTGCTAATAGAAATAGGTAAAAATCAAGGTCTCAAACTGGTGCGGTGCAATTAAGAAGTTTCGTTTATAATAATGAGTCGATGGTAATCGTAATGGAGCCAACGGTGATTAGTTTCGAGCTGTTTTCGGATAGGAAAGACGAGTGTAGAAAGTGCGGATCGCGAAAATCGCATTTCTCGAGACTTCTTTCTTTTATTTCTTTGAGAACCATAAGGTATCACGTTATGTGTATGCGTAAACAATCCAATATTTCACAAATCACGAAGAGAAAATAAATGATGTTTGCATCCGAAAGATGCAAATTTACAATTCATTTATTTCCGCGAAAACATTCAACGCGTTTGAAAAAAAAAAAACTTAATTTTTACTTATAAATTATTGCTTTCTCTCCTAGTCACTTTTTATTATTATTATTTTTTTTTTAGATATAACTCTCACATTATCTAATAGACTTTATGTAATGTTATTTCAAGTTTTTTATCCTTGCTTCTATAGTTGAAATTCCTATATTTTGTTTTACCATTTTTACTTTGTATTCTATCATTTGATTTTAAAGTATGTTAAAATATGTATGCACGTACATCGTTTTTAGCAAACTACGAAAATCAGCTTAATTATCAAGTGTAAACTGTGATCGAAAATGATTTTATTGTATTTTGTGAAAATTACGCAAGTCAACTAGAAAATTCATTATCTTAATTAAAATTACGACTCTAAACGTGTATTTTATCATATTTAAGTTTCAAAATTAATACAAATAAATGTTAATTCTTGAAAAAGCAGAATCCTTAGGTTTTAGTGTGTTTATCAAAAACTAGGAAAGTCATCATATACGTAAATTAGAGGTAAAAGTGTTAGGATTAATGTGAATATAAAATCATATTTGTCACTCATTTAATAAAATCTCAAATTTTCACCAAAAATATTTTAATAATTGGAAAAGCAATCTCGCCAGAGCTGTTTTTTTTTTGCAAATTAGCTTAATTATTCAATATTTTAATGAAAGATAAGTCTTTTGTGTATATTTTATTCATTAAAGACATATCTGCCACTATAATAATTTGCCAATAAGACAAATCTTAAGTTTTGCAACAAAAAAATCTATTTTATTCAATTTCTCGCAAATCACAAAACTCAACTCAATTATCAAATACGTTAGTAAAAGCTAAGAATATAGTGAACAAAATGCATATAAAAACATATTTGTGACATGAAAGATTTTCATGTAATGAATGCTCAAAAATTTAATAAAATAATTTGATCGTCAAAAAAGTCTCTTTAGATTTTATTGAATTTCTCGCAAACTATGAGACTCAACTTAATTATCAAATTTGTCAATCAAAGTTAAGATTGTAAAGAATGAAATGAACGTAGAAATATTATGGTCAGTATCAAAGTTTTCTTGAAATCAGTTCTCAAAAATTTTAAAAAATAATTAAATTTTATAGACGTATTTTATTGAGTTTCGTATGAAGCGAACACGTATTTACGCGAATAATTTGTGAACAAACATGGACATTCATGAAAGTGAATATGCAAATCAAAGTTGAACGCATTATAAATTATGCTTCAGTAATGTGACAATTGTGTAATTAGTAGTTATGTTTTTAATTTGAATTTATAAACGGTATTACTTTTAGTAATTGATGGAGAGAATTGAAGTGTTGAATTTGTTTTTCAGCGCACGCACAACAGACGAATACAAGGGCATCCGCGGCGAAGAAGGAAGATGTGGAATTCACGTGTCCGACGGAGGTGGGAAACGGCAACTTCGCCGACCCGGCGACCTGCAAACGCTTCTACCAGGTAGATCGAGAAATTTGTTATTGTAAGCAGGAAATTGATGAATTATTCTTTTGCAGTGCGTCGACGGATACCCGTACATGAACCGGTGTCCTTCCGGCCTCTACTTCGATGACATCAGCAAATACTGCACGTTTAAGGACGAGGCGCGGTGCGGCCCAATTGCCTCAAGTAATCATTTGCTTTTTCTTCATCTTCATAATTTTCCTTTTATTTATTTGATTTTATTGCAAATTTAGCACCGGCCCCAAGCACAGAACCTCCAGTTGATTTGGCCACAAAATGCAACACGGCAGAGTGCGAATTACCTTACTGCTTCTGCTCAAAGGATGGTACTTTGATCCCAGGAGGTTTAGACCCCGAAGATGTGAGTAGCAAAACTATAACATCCTCTGCAGCAAGATATTAATAAATTATTTGTTAATTTGCAGACTCCCCAAATGATTCTGTTGACTTTCGATGGCGCAGTGAACTTGAACAACTACGATCATTACCGTAAAGTCTTCAGCAAGAACCGCCAGAACCCTAACGGCTGCGACATCAAGGGAACGTTCTTCATCTCTCACGAGTACAGCAACTACAACATGATCCAGCAATTGGCCAGCGACGGACACGAAATCGGCACAGAAACAATTTCGTAAGAACAAGACGTTTTCAATAGTTTCGTTTTATAGTAAATTAACATTGCTCGTTGCAGTTTGCAGCAAGGACTTCAAGATAAGGGGTACGAGGAATGGGTTGGCGAGATGATCGGTATGAGGGAGATCCTCAAACATTTCTCCAACATCTCGAAGAGCGAGGTTGTAGGTATGAGGGCGCCTTTCCTGAAGCCCGGACGCAACACACAATACAAGGTATATTTCTCGTGGATTCTACTGAACAAGAATTGTTTCATCAATTTGGTGTTCTTTATAGGTTTTGGAAGATTTCGGTTATATCTACGACAGCTCCATCGGAGCTCCTCCTTCGCCAGTTCCCATTTGGCCCTACACTCTCGACTACAAGATTCCTCACGAGTGCAAGGCTGGATCGTGCCCCACGAAGACTTTCCCCGGTACGTCTTTGTTTGTTAACTTTCGCATTCCGGTACACTTCCTCAACAAATAAACTTTCAAAGTGCACGCAGAAGGAAGGTCGATCAAGGCCAATACTTCCATATCTTATATTAGCAAATTCAGAAATTATAGAGAACAATAATGAAAATAATCAAAGTACTTGGAAAAAGAGAATACACTTCAAAACCGAATGGTTTGTGTTGTGGTTATTTACATAATGCACGAAACTTGTGCATGTAAAGCGTCGAGACTTTCTCGTTTCTATCGTTTTAAAAAAATGTAAAGCATTACTGAATGACGCAAAAGACTAATTAAAAAATATGTGTTGCATCAGGTGTGTGGGAAGTACCATTAAACGCCCATTACGTGGAAGACTACGAGGGAGGTCATTGCCCGTACTTGGACCAATGCGTTTTGCACAATCACGACGCCCAGGAGGTGTTCGAATGGCTGCAGGAGGATTTCAGCAGGTACTACGAGCAGAACAAAGCACCATACATGATGCCATTCCACACGAATTGGTTCTCTATCAAAGAGTTGGAGCAAGGTCTGCACAAATTCTTGGATTGGACCTCAACGCTGTAAGTTCTCATTCCAAAAAAAATCCGTTTTCCATTATACAAAAATTCAATAATTTGCAGTCCCGACGTGTGGTTCGTGACCATGACACAAGCCCTCACCTGGATGACGGATCCGAAGTCTCTGAAGCAGGTCAACAGCATCGAGGCGTGGAACTGCGTCAAGAAGAAGGAGAACATTCCTCCACCTAGTTGCAACAACAGCAACAAGTGCGCGCTCAGTTACAAGAACCCCAACATGAACTTCACGGACACCAGGTACCTGGAGACCTGCGCCGAATGCCCGAATCAGTACCCGTGGCTCGGGGACGCCGGAGGCAGCGGCATCCCGGGCAAGGACAATTATGTTCCTGATAACGTTAGGAAATAACTTTAAACAAAAACAAAACAAAAAAAACGCCTAAATAATAATTATAAAGAGAATTGAAATTAATTTGCTCAAATAATGATAACTGTTGTTATTTGTTATATATTATGTTGGTCTCATTTATCGAGTGACGAATTTGTTAAATTGTTTTTTTTACAGACTTAATAAAAATTACAATTACTTAAAAAAAAATACACGATTTCTCTATGATATCTTTCGTCGATTACAATTGGTTGCGAATTGGCCATTATGAAATATTCAACCAATCAAAAAAGTCGAAACGAAGCAAATGGACGACGGCACGCAAAAAAACTTTAAACTTTTAGTACGCCCCTCTTTCTTATTGGATATTGGAAATGCACAAGTAGTAAATATGTATATCATTCTATATGTTCCCCAACTGACTTATTAATAACTTAATATAGTTTTAAAAAAGTTTATTAATATTGCTGATCAATAGCTAAGCGGTACTACTATAGTACTCTATATATGTTAATATGGTGGCCTATGTACACCGTCTTATTACCTAAAAAGCATTCGGAAAAAATTACTTTCATCAAAATCGCTGTTAATCAAGTGTAATTGATAAATAACATTATTTATTTGTACAACATAATAACACACTAGCTTTATTCAATTAACAGAATCTTAACGGATTGGGATCCATGGCTCAAAGATCTCTGAATACTTCTTGCGCTCTAAAAACAAACAAACATCCAATTAACTGTTGATCAGATCACGCTTGCAAGACTGCTCTTACCAAAGTCAGGGAAATCCTCTGGATGCAATTGAATATAATGACGGAATACTGCATCCCTTTCGGCGTTTTGCTGGTTGCGCAGATTTCCAAAGTACTGTCCTAATGCTCCTCCGATCACTGCGTAGGCTGCATGCCTGTGTACACCTTTCGGGAGAAGAACGTTTGTTGTGAACGTGAATTATATAATAACATGAGAAAACATACCGCTCAAGATGGGGCGTTTGGTGCTGTAGTGTCCGATTATAGATCCAATAAGACACAGTGATCCGGCCGCCAAGAAGCCATAATACTTGTTCAAGAAGGGCTCTTCCCTGCTGAGGTCAGGGGTTAAAATCTCCAAGGGATTCGCTGAAAGCCTCGGACCAGTCGCCATGATTGCCTGCTTTTTGACAGCTGTCACTGGATGTCATCCGAATACGGTTCAGTGATATTTGTTGCGGAACGCCAACATGAAGCGAGTTTTATACACTAAAATTTATTTATGAAAATTTTGAAAAAAATCTTGCAAATACTTTGAATGGTTCATTGAATCTTAAATCGAAATTTAAATATATTGAATACTATTTGTGAATTGATCATTTTCTTATTGGTAATTATGATTGGAAAGGAAAAGCTAACATACTGCCACCTGCGGGATCGAAGAAAACAAAGATGACAACAAGAAGATACTTCATTTTAAATTAACGAATTCGAACAGATCCTTTCCATCAAAGTTGCTGCAGTTGCATTTATATCAAATTCCAAGTAATATTTTCGAGCCATTGTCTTCAGCGTATAGTGAAATCATAACCAGGTAAGATATTTGTAAAATAAGTCTTCATTTGCAATGAATAATCAATTTTAGTTTTGGAGGGAAATCGCTTCTTGAAGTTTGGTTAAACAAATCTACAAGCAATAATTTTTACTTAAATACTAATACTAAATAAATGCTTTATTTGTTTATATGAGGTAATATTAATTGATGCTAATGCTAATTTATTTATATTTTTTTCAAATTTGTAATATTGTAATGGTTTAGTTTCAGGATGGAAACAGAAAACAATAAGGTCACAATTGAAATTTTGGTGGACAGCAGGAAATCGCAGGACTGCACGAACGAGCACGGTGATTTCACGAACGGTATTAGACATGAGGAGTATCAGTATTTGGATCACATCAAGCGTATATTGGATGTTGGAGTTCAACGTGGAGATCGCACCGGTGTGGGCACCTACGGTATTTTCGGGGCGCAGATGCGCTACTCGTTGCGGGACAACATATTTCCATTGCTGACGACGAAGCGAGTCTTCTGGAAGGGCGTCGTGGAGGAGCTGCTGTGGTTCATCAGGGGAAGCACGAACGCTAAGGAATTGCAGGACAGGAAGATTCACATTTGGGATGCAAACAGCACCAGGGATTTCTTGGATTCGGTCGGGTTGAATTCGAGGGAGGAAGGTGACTTGGGTCCAATTTATGGATTCCAATGGAGGCATTACGGTGCCAAGTACGAAGGGATGCACGCCGATTACACCAACAAGGGTATTGATCAACTGCACAACGTGATCCAGACGATCAAGAATAGACCAAACGATAGGAGGATCATAATGTGCGCTTGGAATCCAATCGACATTCCGCAGATGGCTTTACCGCCTTGTCATTGTCTCGTCCAATTTTACGTTGCTAACGGAGAGTTGAGCTGCCTGCTTTACCAGAGATCCGCGGATATGGGACTCGGAGTTCCGTTCAACATCGCCAGTTACGCTTTACTTACCTACATGATGGCACACATCACCGGGCTTAAAGTAAACTTTTTGCAAAAAATCGACGTTTCTTTTACTAACTTTTTGCTCTTTGTTTCTACAGCCTGGTGAGTTTATTCATACCTTGGGCGATAGTCACGTCTACATGAACCACAAGGAGGCGCTTCAGGAGCAGCTGGAGAGGACACCAAGACCGTTCCCAAAACTGCACATCAAACGCACAGTCACGAGCATCGATGACTTCAAATTCGATGATTTTGAGCTAAGCGGTTACAATCCCTATCCGAAGATCAGTATGCCCATGGCAGTCTGAATATTAAGATTTTTATACCTTTCGCGTACTTATTACTTCGCATCAGTACTTAACAAACAAAAAAAGTGTAGTCCTGTCTTATATGTTTGAAATTCCCTGTCTAGATTTATTTTCTTTTATATAAATATAATATTTTTACATTAACTAGGTTCTTCAAAATCAAATATATTTAATTTATTAAAATAATACCTAGATTTCAAATTCCTGGATAATTTCTAGTTTTTACAGTTGTTGGAGGACAAAAGTTAAGCAACGTCGGCTAAGGAAATTCGGTGAATTTGTTTTTTTTGTGAGTTTAAATTTGAATATTACAATGCTAATATTTCGTTTAAGCTTAAAATGTTAAGTTTAATTATGAAAATAAGTGTGGTTTAGGAGAAATTAATAGTTTGTTATAAATATTTAAAATTATAATTGGCTTTATGAAACTACCAATAATGAATAAGAATGTTGAGCTTGTTGAGGTTTATTTGATATTTCGCGTTGTTGGTAGCGCCGAAATCAATTGTTCCATAGTGACAGAAAGGTCAAACAGTTAACCTGCATTTTAATGTCGTCTAACTGTCAAAACATTTTCTCTCCAATTGGAAAATGTACCAGAATACGTGCGGGGCAGCGGCGACTGCGGGTGGCTGTGTAGAAACGGACAAGGACTGCCACAGTCTCATTTCCAAAGAACCCGTCGTGCCAGCAGTCGAACATGACTACAGCGGCTTCGACATCGTTAAGGCTACTCAGGTGAGACAGAGACTCTATCAAGCAACGAAAGATAAATTTGCTACCTCCGTGAGTTTTAGTATGGTGCCTTTGCCAGAGTTAAAGACCTGGTTGAGGCTGGGTACAATGTGAACCAGAGGGACAGCGAGACAGTCACTCTGCTGCACTGGGCTTCAATTAACAACCGAAAAGATATTATGAGATACTTCATTGATAAGGGAGCTGAGGTGGATGCAATTGGAGGAGAGTTGAATGCAACACCATTGCATTGGGCTACCAGACAGGGACATCTTGATGCAGCTGTGTTGCTGATGAATTCTGGTGCTGATCCCACACTCAGAGATGCTGAGGGTTGTTCCTGCATACATTTGGCATCACAGTTCGGGCACACCGCTCTCGTTGCGTACTTCGTGGCGCGAGGGGTCAGCCCTGATCTCGTGGACAGAGGCGGGATGACGCCTCTGATGTGGTCCTGCTGGAAGGTTTGCAGCTTGGATCCTACCCGGGTTCTACTGACTTTGGGCGCCAACACGAGCTTGGCCGACTCAAATCAAGGCAACACGGCCCTGCATTGGGCTATTTTAGCTAGAAACACTATAGCAATATCCACATTAGTATTACAGGTAAAATTGCGTTATCGTAATTGCCCGAAGGAAACGATTTAGAGTTTGTTGTTTCTTTTTGCAGGCACAAGCTAGTTTAAATATACCAAATCATCGCGGGGATACTCCACTGTCAATGTTGCAAACGAATTTAGGGGCCGTCTGGGTGGGACCGAAGGTGGCCGAGAAAGTTAGGGAGAATATGAGCACGTTGCGATCAAGAAATATATTTTTTAGGATAGCAAAAGACAAGGTATATCCAAATACAATTAGAACATGAAGCAGTATGATAAACTGGTATTTTTGTGTTTTGCAGCGTGTGAAATGGTGGTGCATGGTCGGCACACCGTTTCTGACGTTCTACGTGGCTGGTTTAATATTAGGATCAAGTTTGTTGTTTTTAATTAAGATATTCCTGTTTCTCTGCTTGTACATTGTGCTGAATTCGGCTGGACAAATTCTGTTCGACGACAGGTTGATGGCCATCCTTCCGCTTAGCATTTACGTATCCACGAAAATCTGGATGTACTTTACATGGTTCATCTACATCATGCCGAATACGAGCATCCTTATTAACCTGGTGTTCCTCTCCACTTCGGGCCTCCTCTGGTACTGCTTCCTGAAGTCGTGGAAAGGCGATGCAGGGACGATAAACGCAACTCAGGATGTCAGGTTCAGAGTAAGATTGAATATTTGAATATGTTTAAAGGCGCTTCGACTTATTTTTATATTCTTTCAGACTATAATTGAATTGGCCGAACGTGGTACCGGAGGTTTCGAACCGTCTCTCTTCTGTTCGACGTGTCTTGTCCGCAGACCGCTGCGATCCAAACATTGCTCAGTGTGCAACAAATGCGTGGCAAGGTTCGATCATCACTGTCCGTGGGTTGCGAATTGCATCGGTAAGTACAAAAAAAAATATATACGCAAAGCAAAATATTAAATTAACTCTTCGATTCTATTGAAATGCTTCTGCAGGTGCTAAAAATCACAAGCATTTCATCGGATTCTTAGCGTGTCTGGTCATCATGTGCGGGCAAATGTTGATCGGCACAGCCAAGTATTGGCAGAGTGAGACCGAGTGCATCATCGATAGGAATGAGAGCTACGCAACCGTCGCAATGGCAATAGCAAGATGCGATCCTTGGGTCGCCTTCATCGCAGCTAATGCTCTCCTCCATTTTGCCTGGGTCTCCATGTTACTCGTCTGTCAGATCTACCAGGTATCCGCGAACGAAAGTACAACATTCTGAACTCTCTTATTAATGTGTTTCAATTATTTTCTGTTTAGATTTCTTGTTTGGGGATGACGGCCAACGAGAGGATGAACCGCTGCAGATACAACCACTTCATCACGAACAATGGGAAGAGCCCGTTCTCCAAAGGTCCTCTGATGAACGTTGCAGAGTTTTTCGAATGCACGTGCTGCGGTCTCATGAAGCCGCAGATGAAAGACTGGATGACGAGCTTCGACCTGGAGAAGAATATCGAGCATCAGCCGTTGCTCAGGCACAAAGACAATTATCAATACGTCTAAATAAAATGAACATCCAAATTTAAAAACAAAAGAAATAATACATGTGTGTATAGCTTATGTCATCAAGAACAAAAAGAGATGGATGGATAGTGAAGAGACGAACGGACAAAGATGAACACATTCCAACATTGATTTTTTTTCTTATAAATGTGGATTTTTAAAACGATAATTTTAAACTCGCGCGCGCCTCTTTACCCTTTTTCGCCTACACACCTCCACCTCCGCAAATGTTACCTATTATATATTAAAAAAAAAATAATAATAATATTGAGAGAGATACAAGAATAATCTAGTCAACGTACTTACGTTTTATTTTTTAATTATAACTTTTTTTTTTAATTTTCCGATTTGTTTTTCTTTTTTAAATCTTATAAATAAATGTGTGTAATGTATATTGAAAATTCCCCAAGCTTTTTCTATCGCTGTTTCTAAGTTCTCTTTTCTGTTTTGAAATTCGATTATTTTCTGTACGAGATAATCTCGAAAACGCTCAACAAGAATAATAATGAATGTTCTCAGTAAATCGCTGGCTTCAATAATAAATAAATATATAAAATTAAATTAAAAACGTTTAAATATGATGAGAATTCTGGAGTTACAAATAAATACACACGCACACTCCAAGCATTTACACATCTATGTAGATTTATTTTCTTTTAATCTTGAAATGTACAGTACAAAAATTACTTATGCACACACGTAGAATAGTTTATAGTATTTCTGTTTCGTTTTCAAACTTCTTTGACAAAATAATAAACTAATTCAATTATGGGCTACGAATCTAATGTTAGACTTTAAACATTTATCAATCAAATCAAGAGAAAAACAATAATTTGTATCATTTTGATTATTATCATATTATATGTATATATAAGAGGAATGATGCACACACCGAAACGAGAGAGAGAACAATAGTTATGAATCCTTTAAACTGTATATATATATAATAAATTAAGTGGAACGTAATTACAAATTAAAAAAAAATAGGTTCGCTCAAAAAATAATACAATTTCCGCTTGTTTGTTGTTAGTTAAGTGTTTTTTTTTCTCTTGTTAAATTTCTCCGATCTTTCTCCTGGTGCACTGCGGACTAGAAGATCAACGTGCCTTCACTGTTATTTCTTATTTTGCAATGCATTAGCGAGCCAATCCATCGCTTGGTCCAAACCCTCACCCTTGGTGGCCGAGGTTTTGAATATCTGGAAGGTCCGATTCTTGAGCGCCTCCAGGCCTAAAGCCTGATGCACTTCCGCCACAGTCATGCATCCAGCCATATCCTGCTTATTGGCTAATACCACTAAAATAGCATCCGTCAGCTCTTCCTCCTGCAAATATAACAAATCATTCTATAAAATGTAGAAATAGAAAATGGTTTAAATTCTCACCCGCAGCATATGGAAAAGTTCATCTTTTGAAATACCTATCCTCTCCTTGTCTGCTGAATCCACTACATATATTATGGCATCCGTATTGCTATAGTAACACCGCCAGTAAGGTCTGTAATGATAAAAGAGGAAATTGAAGAGAAACAATTGATTAATGTTTATGTCGAACTCACCTGATGCTCGTTTGTCCACCCAGATCCCAGACTTGGAATTTAAGGTTTTTGTATTGGACCTGCTCAACGTTGAAGCCGATCGTTGGTATCGTCGTCACGACTTCGCCCACCTGCAGCCTGTACAGGATGGTCGTCTTTCCAGCGCCGTCCAACCCCAAAATCAGTATCCTCATCTCCCTCGCGCCTAGCAACCCCCTGAAGTAACTCCACAACCCACCTGCAAAACAAACATAACCTATTGACCCACCGCCAAAGAAATTTCTCTCGCTCAACACTTACCCATTTTTTTTTAGCTCGTTTCTTCACGCTGTAATCTACACTATAGCCGTTACCATCAATTCTTCATTGTTTTCATTTACTTCACATTCATTCGGTTTCACATCAATCCTGACGTGTACACAGAAGTCACGCAAATTAAACGTCAAAGAAGGTGTATTTGTTTGATGCCAACCGAACATATATTATCACCAAACCTTTTTCTCTACACAAATTCTACTAATTGCTAGCACAACTCTAGC